TGGAGGGTCAGGGACTTGGAGGATGCATAATTGGAATACTGGTGACAAAGAAATTGGATAAAGCAATAGAGAGGTAGACCTCTCTGAAAGATTGAACACACGTCTCATGTAAATGCTCACCAGTGGGTGACTTGGCATAGGAAGAGTTTCATGATCACGTGGATAGGCTGACTTCTGTGGACCCAAGTCAGCCTATTCTCCCAGTCACCTGTCATTGCCAGTGTCTCACAAACCATGGACATTACACATGGGCTCAGCAACATAGGACTCCACTCACCAAGGCTAGCCTGGCTATGGCTACAACTGAATGCCCAAATGCCATCAGCAGAGACCAATACTCAGTCCCCAGTACATCACCATTCCCTGGGTGACCAGGTAGTTAATACACTGGACATTTTCACTGCAGAAGGGGCAACACTTTTTTCTAGCAAGAATAGACCCATTTACTGAATGTAATGCTTGTTCCCAAATTACCATCCATGGGCTTATAGGGTACCGTATCCACTATCATGCTAATTCACATAGCATTATGTCTAATCAAGAAGCTCTCACCGCAAGTGGAGTACAATAGTGGCCCAATGCTCATGGAATTCACTGGTCTTATGTTCCACACCCTCTTGAAGCAGGGGGCTGGTAGGACAGTGGAATGGCCTTTTGAGGGCTCACTGACAACAAGGAGGTAACACCTAAAGACTGAGGCAAGGTGCTCCCGAAGGCTGGATATACTGAGTCAGCATCTAATGTATGGTACTGTCTCACTCATAGCCAGGATTCACAAGTCCAGGAATAAAGGGGTGGCAATGGGAATGGTACCACTAGTATCTCCAGTGACCTATTAGCAAAATTCTTGATTCTTGTTTCATATGATCATCTTGCCTGGGTTTTAGGTCCAGAAGTGGGAAATGCTTCCACCAGGAGATACAAGGCCGACCCACTGATTTTTAAGGTTAGACTGCCCAGCCACTTCAGTTTCCTCATGCCTCTGAATCAACAGGTAAGGAAAGGTGAGAAAGCAACTGGGCATAATGGTGCACACCTACAAACACAGCACTCTGGGAGGCAGTCAGAAGACTGTAAGTTAAAGCCCAGCCTGGGCAACTTAGCAAGACCCTGCCTCAAAAACAAAAACAAAAACAAAAACAAACAACAAAAAAAGTGGGAATGTAACTTAGTGTAAAGGCCTTGGATTCAGTTCCTAGTATCACAAAAATGGGGAAAAGAGCACATCTAGAACACAGGATCCCTTGGTGCACGTCTTAGTCTCACCATGTGCTGTTGTGATTACAGCCAATGGAAAACAACTAGCTCATCCAGCCAGGGTCAGTTATGGTCCAGACTCTCAAGGATGAAGGTTTGGGTCTCTCCACCAGCTAAAGCAGCATGACCAGCTGTGGCTGCAGGAAGAGAACAGAGATGGGGAGTTTGAGGTCAGTATACAAGCATGTGGCCATCTACAGACCAAGGACTGTACTTGCCATGAATCTTTTCTCTTCATTTGATACTGTTTGCACGGGATCCCTTTATAACACCCTTCCATTATGATGTTCTTGTCTTGGAGCCAGCCAACTATGGACTGAAACACGGAAACAATGAACCAAATTAAAATTCTAAGTCATAAAAGATTGTGAAACTTTTACCAACCGGGTGCCATGCAAAAGCTCAGACAAGTTGTGGCTAATGAGTCGCAGCTTGTGATATCAGTGCTTTGAAGCATGCTCATGGCCCGTGTGGGTGTCATTATCCAATGTTCAGCTGCTAGGTGATGCTGGGGTAATTTCGCTCAAGTGCTAACAGAGAGGGCTGTGTGCCTGCTGCAGCATGTGTGCCATAGGTTTGCCACCACTGGTGTAGGGTATTGTGTCCCCAGTGATGGGAAAGCTGACCAAAACAGTGTCTTATCAACTTTTTTCCTGTTGCTTCTTCCTCTTCTTTCTCCTTCTTCTTCTTTTGGTTTTATTGAGATGAAGTCATGCTCTGTAATTTAGGTTGACCTCAAATTCATGGTGATCCTGCATAATTAGGCTCCTGAGTACTTGGATTACAAGTTTGTATCACCATGCCTGGTTACCTATCATTATTTCTAAATTTTATTTTTTTTAAAGGTGGAGTGGTGAGCAGCAGAAGGTAGATTGGTGAGCAGCAGAGAAAGAGCCTCTCCAACATTTGGTTTTCAAACACTGGATTACAGCAACATGAGGGAGAGGAGGAAAGTGGGTCCTTGGGACCCAGGAAGGATCTGAAGCAAGAATTGAATCCCACAATGAGAGCAAAGAGAGAAGCTTAAACGAAGAAGCCTGCCTCCTCCTCAAGTTGTGTCATGTACAGGTACAAATTCTGATGAATGTTATGCATATCTAAAATGTACCAATAAATATAATTAATTAAAAAAACCTGATCTCAGAAAATGTTACTGCCTACCTAGTCTAAATGTATAAAAAAATCTTTCCCTTTCTATAAACAAGTGGAAACTTTAATTTAGAATGCCCTAATTTTGCTTATAAAAAGATTTAAAATATTCCTCCAAGAGCTCAGATAAAGCTGGGCATAGTAGTGCATACCTGTAATCCCAGCAGTTGGTAGGCTGAGACAGGAGGATCAAGGATCACTGTGAGTTCAAGGCCACCCTGGGCTACCTAGTGAGTTCAGGACCAGCCTGAACTGCATAGTGAGACTATCTCAAAGAAACAAAAACAAAATGCATAAAAAACAAAACAACCCCCCCCCAACAGAGGTTACCAAGTTTTCAATCATAATACACCAGCACAAATAGAAAACGCTTAGCACAATTATATTTAGAATTTAAAGTCCAGCAGTTCTGCCTTTTATCTCATTAATTTAAGGATTTCAAAAACATGCAAAACTTTTTTTAAAAGAGTAAATTAAACTAGGTAGAACTAGAAGCAAGTAAGATTCAGGTACTTTTAAGGCAGATTTCAAATCATGGTTTTGAACAATATTTCCATCTGGTCAAACACCAGGGAAGAGGAATAAGCAGTAGGGGCCACTAAGCAGATGGTTCCCATTAGAGGTACACTCTGAAGCCGCTACAGAGCTGAGCACAGACCACGTGGCTTTCATTCATTTATTTTCGAAAACCATAGCATGTCACCAAACAGAAATACAGCAATTTAAAATAAAGCAAGCTCACGTGATTAGAAGAAAAAAAGAAACAATCCAGTATGTATGCCAATAGGAAACCAAAGCTATCCAAGCAGATCCACCATATTTTAATGACAGAATGACAGGCACAGTTTAGGCCAGTATTAGTGAAAAACACCCCAAACCCATGGCTTTAAGTCACAGTAAAAACAACAAAAGGTATGAAATGTGACTACTTCACTTCTTTTTTTTTTTTTTTGGTTTTTCTCCGGTACCAGGAACCGAACTCACAACCTTGCGCTTGCCAGGCAGGCGCTTTGCCGCTGAGCTAAATCCCCAGCCCCTACTACTTCACTTCTTAATCTGTGTCAGATGTACAGTATCACAACACAGAAACAAAAAAGTTTTACAATTTACAAAGTATAATGCAATTAAGAAATATTTCTATAAAAATTGTTAACATATTCTAGAAGGCACGTACACACTCTGTGTGCAGGCTTCAGCCATCTAAGTACCCTCCCCTTCCTTCATCCTTCCAAACCAGTATTAGGTACTTATTTTATACTCAGTGGCTCTACTCTAAGTGGAAGGAGGTGAACAGTCCAGTTTCTGCTTTCACAGAACTCATATTCTGGTGGGATTGCTTCTATAAAACACTTCCTGACCGTATCAAATGACTACAGCATTAGAAGTAATTCCCAAACTCCTAGGCTGGTCTCCCTTGTGGATCCAAACTTTAGTTACAAAAGCTATGCACAAGTATTATTTTACTGACCAAACCAGTTGGGACCTTAGCTGTAAGAATTGTACATGGAAAATAACCATTTTTAGTTACTTTCAGGCAGGAGAGGTTTCTTGACTTATTTCCTTTGCTCTCCAATTATGATAAGCCAAGATATTATCGAATATTATTTCAATACTAATATTAGCAGAAAGTATACATACATACATACAGTTTCTAGAAATGAAAATTACCTGCAACCATGCCTAAATATTTTTTTATCCACTGCTGAAGGATTCCAGTCACTCTTTAGGCTAATATGAGAGAATCACTTATGCTGTATTATTTGCAATGCTTACACTTGAAATGAATTTATGTCTGTGTAAAATAAAACTAGCTTTCACCCACTCTGGGAGACCTTGTAAGCTACTTAACTGCAAAATATGGTATGGTTTGGAGTGCTTTGTATAGTTTAACTGAATTAGTTTCTTATTTTATATATCAATTATGCCACGTAACACCACAGAAATTAGTTTTAACCACTTAACAGTTTATCCTGAGCATCACTCAGGCAGCATGTTTGTTTACGTATTGACTATCCTGACATGCTCAGGCAGGTGCCATTTCAACCAATCGATTCTTGTACGGAGTAAGTTTGATAAAATTTCGTTTGTATTTCCTGTTTCGACCTCTTATAAAATTTAGTGAAAAAAATATGTAACTTTTGGTCACCTTCTATTTATATCATTGGACTGTAATTGTTTTATGGGTTTATTTATGCATCAGCGTCAGACCCATTTAGCATATTAGACATTAACAGTCCTTCTGCTCCTGGGGAATAGGACAAGGTACACCCAGAATCCTCTGGAGGATCTGGGCATGTTCCAACTGCTGCTTCCAAGTAGTCTCCACCCTGGAAGAATGCTCACATCCCTCACTTCTGAGGGAGACACAGGCTAAACATTTACTGACAGTGTTAGGTGCTTACAAATTGCTTAGATGAGGCTAGTTGCTCATAATCCTGTCCGGGGGTGCTGGGTGAACTTCCTTTTGCCCACATGATGCTTTAAGAGCAACATGGTACTTGCATTAGCAGCACACATACTAAAATTGGATCCAAACTAGTTTAGTGTAAAAATAACACACAAATGTGTAGTGTTCTGTATTTTTACACACACACACACACACACACACACACACACACACAAAGCTGGAGGAAATCTGAAAAAAATCAGCAGATTGTATCAATGTCAACATCCTAATATTTATAGAATGTTACCATTGGGGGAAACCAGTCGAAGTATGCACTGTACGTGACTCTCATCACACTACACAGGGTCAGGTTACTGATGGTTATGCCAACATATGACCACATGAAGAATACAGCATATATAGGTCATGTGTGCTACACCAACATATGATTATACAACTACACATCACACCTAAAAGTACCCATATGAGCCCATCAATAAGTTCAATTAAGAAAAGCAATACAGGGGCTGGGGATTTAGCTCAGCGGGACAGTGCCTGCCTGGCAAGTGCAATTCCCAGTACCGGAAAAAAAAAAAAAAAAAAGAAAAGCAATACAGCTAAGTGGATGTAATGCATGAACTTCACCAGTACATTCCATTTCTATGGTCTGTTGTAGGCACATAACATAGCAATCCTCTGTCTAAAGCTTTAGAGAAGTATTTACTATCACCTAGCTATGGCACTAATATACAAAATACATGAACATGATATAGTATTTCCATCAGGATCAGTGATCAAAGACTCTGACAGACATAAACCAAATAAAAACAACACACAGCCTTCTCTAAGATTTTACATTAAACCAAGAGTTCGATTTAGTACTTCTTTCCCTCTTAAAAGATTCATCATGAAGATAGTACAGCAAACGATTATTCCCAAGCAACTGTCAAGCATTTAGTGAAAACCACTAAACCAAAATTAACTGGAAAATATTTTAATGGTATTTTTATAGCACAAAATGATTCAACTGAGACAGGCAGAAGAAAGTAAAATAATACATGTAAGTTACACTGCTTCAAATCCCCATATCACCGGACAGAGAATGAGCAGCAGTCCTACCAGCAGTCTTCCCATTTCTCCTCTTGAAGGCACAGACAGGGTCATGTATCGAGCAGAGGTCTCTCCTGGGTTCCAGACCCCTGCTTTACTAACAAACACTGTGAGACTCTGACCCATACATCTCTATGGAGCCAAAGCCAGCCCCGCCATCCTATGGCCCTTTCAACTGCTCCCAGCCCCCTTCAGACTGGACTTTTGATTCCTTTTCTCCCTCTGGCCCTGGATTCGGAAAAGCTTCTTCCTGAGGTCCTTCTGCCGCCTCAGCTTCTCCTCCTCCTCCTTCTGCTTCACTCTGGCATGCTCCTTACTGTGCAGATGCCGCTGCTCTTTGGCCCTTTTCACTTTCTGCTTATTCACTGTGCTCAGCGCATCCAGAAGTGCCAGGATCTGCAAGGATAAAGCCCAGTCAGCATCACTTATTCAGCTGTGGCACGTGTGTGACCTACACTTCTGGGGCCTGAAGACCTGGCTGACAGGATTAAAACTAGATTCAGTCTACAACCCAAGTACAGAGGCATCCTGAACTAGGAAAGGACAACTTGCACAGAGATGTGTGTGAGCACATTTTACCCCTACCAAAAAACCACCTCTGTTCACCACTCTGGATGCTCTACCCACCAGCTAAGATGGGGGGTGGGGCATACCACCTCCCCAACTCCAGATCAAACCCATGGAGAGCATGGTTGAGCCAAGAATCCAGGGCCCTGTGCCCCTGATGAAGGCTGGGTGCACAGTGGAAATGCTGAACTGTGCTATGGAGAGCACAACTTTCATGTTCAAATGCAAGGCAATAAGCAGTCGCTCACAGTACCTTCGTCTCATGAGGCTCGCGGATGACAGCTGGCCTCCACCTGTCCCTGGGCACCTGGCCAGCCTTTGCTTGGAGCTTGGGCTTGTTCTTAAATGGCAGAGCCTTCTGCAAGGCTTTGGGAATGTGTAGTGAATTAAAATGTTTCTTTTGCCTCAGGATTGGCTAAAAAGGAAAATAAAACAAAAACTATGACAAACCATAACCCATGTCTATATAAAACTTTAGTATAAACTCTTCTCCATGGTTGACTTTCCATAGGTCAGTAACACCTGCATCAGCTGCCTGCCAGAAGTCAGCATTTGTCACCCAGGCAGAATGGCTGCCTTGAAGGACATCCACATTCCACACACAGCACAGGAGCTGCAGAGTATGCTTATAGTTCTTCAAAAAAGTACCTATGGCCACTTCCATGGAGGAAACTATCAGGCGATCTGAAGCTGCTTCTCATGAAACACTCAGGTCCTGCCTGTGAGGCAATGAGCTGGTGTTTCTCCAGCCTAACATGAATGACCTAGCTAGCCTCTCATTTTAAGCCTCTCTAGATGAACAACAGGTTTTCCTCAGCAGCTAAAGTGTCCCTATTCCTGCCTCTAATTAAGAAGTTTAAATTTTTGTGTCTCTGCTAGAAGCCTGGGGAGAGACAAATGAAATTTAAGCAGCACAGGAAGGCAAACTCTGTATAGCATTTTCAAGGTAATGGAAGTTCTATGTTTAAATTAAGATAACTAAATTTTTAAATTGCCTCAGAAATATTGGCAGGAAGTTGAAAGTTTTGCCCAAGGCAAATCAAACGTCAACATTAACTATTTAGAGAAGATTGCTATGGCTTCACTGTTAAGAAACTGGGAGCACGGCACACTTTCATATCCCAGCTACTCAGGAGGCTGAGGCAAGATCACTTGGGTGTAGGAGTTTGAGATCCACCTGGGCAACACAGGGAGATCCTGTCTCCCCATAAGTAAGTAAGTAAGTAAATATACCAGTACTAGTCAATATCCTTTGTTCAGGAATACAAATTGCTTTAGAATTTAAAAATTCAGAGAAATCTTTATAAAAGCATCACAGGTTGATAATGGGCACACATCTTAAGTATATTTCACTGAAAACTCATGAAGGATGATCCAAAATTTTACAATAAACTATCTTATATGGGAGACCATTTCTACCAAAATGGCAGACTGATACCTTGAAAATATCCGTTTTCAGGGGTAGGGGAGGCTGTTTTGAGGCAGGGTCTTGCTATGCAGTTCAGGTTGGCCTTGAACTCACTATGTAGTCCAGGCTGGCCTCAAACTCATGGCAATCCTCCTGCCTCAGCCTCCTGAGTCTTGGGATTACAGACATGAGCCACCACGCCCAGAGGCAATGATTTTTTTGGATGTTATATCAAAAGCTAGGATAGGAAAGCAAAACTAAATAATGGGGCTACATTACACTAAAAAGTTTCTGCACAGCAAAAGAAACCACAAAATGAAAGGGCAACCTACTGACTGGGAAAAAAAAAGTACTTGTACACCTTGTATGTGTAAGGCATTAATAATCAAACTTCACAGAACTCTTCCTACAAGCCAACAGCAGAAAAACAGCCAGATTAAACCATGAGCAGAGGGCCTTGAACAAAAATTTCTCCAAAGACAGAAAATGGTTAACAAGAAATGAGGAGATGCAGATTCAACAGTACACAGTGGCAGGCACATAGGATGAACATACATACAAATCTAATATATCACATGAGAACTACAGCCAAAACTATTACTTATTTGGGAAGTTTGTTAAATAAGTAACTTTAATTCCTCTGTCACACAAAACAAAGTTATGTGAGATGGTAGATATGTTCATTTGCTTCACTACAGTAATCTATCTACCTACCTACCTAGTATATCCCCGAACATCATGTTGTAAACCTTAAATGTACAGTTTAAATCCTTTTCTAATACAGAGAAAATTGCTACAATTTTCTTGCCTTCCTTTCCAAAATATTCCATGATTTAGTCAAATTTAACATTATACCTGAAAATTCAAAGCACACAGGACACTGTACATCAAAGCACTGATGTGAGTGCCTAGAGCACACCTGGCCATCTTCCCTGACACGTGTGTGCACGCGCGCGCGCGCACACACACACACACACACACACACACACACACCCTTTACCTTATACAGGGAATCCTTGCTGGTCTTCAGCTTGATCCCATGGGCGAGCCTGAGCTGACCTGTGGTCCGCATTCCTGACCAGGTGTCTTTCTCACCCACTGGTTTCAGCAGAGATGTAACTGGGTTATAAAATGCTGGGATGGACACAGGGTACCACGTTCGCATGAATACAATATCTGGAAAGAGGAAATTTAACATTTCAAAACAAGATCCATACCCACCTATGTGTTTGTGTGTCACCCCCCAACAACTTTTCTACCTCACAAAGTTTTCTATTCTTGTGTATCACACAGCTGCCATAGGGTATGAAGCAGGAAGCTGCTTCAGGGCCCTCTGCTCACGGTTTAATCTGGCTGTTTTTCTGCTGTTGGCTTGTAGGAAGAGTTCTGTGAAGTTTGATTATTAACCCCTTACACGTACAAGGTGTACAAGTACTTTTTTTTCCCAGGAAGCTGTGACAGTGGCACAAGATGCTCTAATGGGGCAAAGCTGGTGCTGATTCTTTCTAAAACCTAAACTCCAACTTCTAATCGACACTGGGTAGAAATCAGCAATAAAAGGCAGCACAGGGTTGTGAACATCATGGTGTGCTCACCACTCATCAGCAGCTTGTCCTCAAAGCTGGCCCGGAAAGCCCCCTCTGGAGCCCGCAGTGCTTTCTTGATCTGTCCCCTAATTCCACTGACAGTTCGAATCACAGCACCTTCAAATTTGGCCACTTCCAAGGCAGAATTAAACATTCCCTACAGGAAAATGAACAGAAAAATGCACATACATAAGATCATATATTTCACCTCTCAGTTCATTGTTGGTTAAAAAAATAAAACACACCTCACTGAAGGGGGACAAAATAAACTATTTTCTTCTATAAAACTGACATTACTATGTCAAGAAGTACACAGCTCTATTTTACTCTTCCAAAGTAACATCAGTCCAGACTGCTGTGGGCTCATTAACATGCACATCACCGGTACCTTGGCAAAAAAAAAGCAGAGATGTATTTACTGGACATCTGTCGCTGGCACCACTGCAGCTCACACTGTATCATTTAGGTTCACCCATTTAAGTAAAAAGAGCTAGACAGATGCTGGTGGTATCATTACTTGACATCATAAGAACATTTAGAATCTTCTCCATCTTCTTCCTCCTGTGGTGCTGCAGATGGCACCCCTCAGTGCTCTACCAATGAACCACAGCCCTAAACCTCAGGATCTTAACTGTTTTTAATGAAAACATCTCCACTAATGAAACTTTCAAGAACTGCTGCTCAAACTATCCTCTTCAAATAGTGTAAAATATTGTGCCCATTCTCAGAAACCTTGTAAGCTTCTTGCAACCTGCTTTGTCTCTTTCTTTTCTTTTAGTTTACTAGTACATGTGTTTAGTGTATGTCTACATTCCTTGTGAAGTTAGTGCATGTACATAACACATCTTAATTCCTTTTTCCTCGCCTTTCCCTTCCCTCTCTCCTCCCTCCACTTTGTCTATTTTCTGTTTAACTGTTAAATAAAGGTATGATTTTCCTCCTTTCTTAACACAAATCTAAAGGGTGGGCATAAACCCAGAGGGGTAGGCACAGGTTTTCAGTATTAATTCTCAGACAGGGTTGCATGGAAGTAACAAGAGCCCTGGGCACTAAGTATCTTTTTGAATTCACTTTTACAGTTATAGCATATTTTACACAGACACAGACACAAAGAAGTCAATTAAAAAATACCAAAGGAGAACATTCAAATACTATTCTAAAAACATTAGGTCTATATTTTAGAAGATCACGAAAATCCAAAATCTTCCAAAAACTAAAATTTTCTGAGGTAGACATGATGCCACTTGTGGGATATGTGACAACTGACTTCATGTACGAGTCCCAGTCAAAATGCAGGCACACTAAGGACACTGCATACAGTGACCTTCAGGTCACATGGGTAAGGTATATGTGAATCACATGCAAGTCATCTCATTACATGTATGTAAGTATTCCAAAATCTGGAGAATCTAAACTTTGAAACACTCTGGTCCCAAATATTTCAGATAAGGGATCTGAACTTGTATTGCACTCTTCCTTTAACAATATAAACATTTATAAAAATGTCAATAGATAGATATACAGACCTTAATAAATGAAGTATTCTTGAAAATTTTATAAGGAAAACCAGTTAGTTTTAATTTCTTCACAATTTTTATGGATTTATCCAGATCGAGGACAACTCCCGTCGCAGCTATCCGGAAATCAGGCTGAAAGAAACCCCAAAAATTTGAGTATAAAGTACCAGCAGAATAGGGCCAACCTGAGGTACATAGTGAGTTCAAGGCCAGCCTGAACTGCATAGTGAGACCCTGTCTCAAAAACAAATAAACATACACACATACACACACACACACACGCAAACAAACAAACATAAAAACAAAAAACCCAGCAGGAATTTCAACTCTCTGTGATGCACTAAGTTACCAAAGTTTGCTTTACTTATAGTCAACTAAGAAAGAACAACAGAGCATGTGAACATGTCGAACAGTACTTCAGCAAAGCATCAAAACCTGCAACACTGGCCCCTAAACGGACACTGATGGCTGCAGGGCCCTCTTGAGAGTGACTTCACAAGGGTTAATTTCAAATGAAGAGGAAAAACTAAATTTAGCTGTAATTTATAAAAAGCTAAATTCTGGACTTCTGGGGTAGATTCTTCCACCTCCTCCTCAACTCTGTGAAACCTGCTCTGACCAATCTCACACAGAGGGCACACACTTGCTCAGCCTCCCCTGGAGAGCCGCCCCTGGTGAACTGGCTGCCCTCTGTCCCTAGGACAGGCAGAGTGCCAGCCCATGGACAGCACTGCTTCGATACTCCTTCAAGGTATGAGAACCTGTGCCATTATAATTCTTCTACACCACTCTTCTCTACTCCCAAGCCCTTCTACAGAATACAGGAAAATCAAAAGCAAAGAGAAATTTACTATATATTACATACTAAAAATGAATGATTTTCAACTCAGATTCATGTATATGACTCAGATTCAAGATCAACTTCTCAAATATCATCTATGAAATAAAATATGCAAGATATTTACCATTACACCACTGACGGACTGTATTGCCAAGAACCCAGTTCCTTGTGGAGTGATAGGGCCTTAAAGGAAACAGGAAACAAGCTAGAGTGAGCCACACATTTGGGTTAGATTCTCCAACCCCTCACCCAAGGAAACAAATATTATGACAACTGGTAGTTCATGAAAGAAAAGAGCAAAATTTAATCACAAGATCTAATAATGGGTATTAGTGAAATCTTACAACCAATTATTCTAACCCCATTTTACCCCAGAAGGTTGCTCCACAGTGCATGTGCTGCGGGGTGTATTTTAGAAGCCTCTGTCGTCCATTGTGGTCTTCAATGTAATAGAGTGGGATGGTTTGAAACCTCCTCCACCCAACAGAAAAAATGATTGGATCTCGGGACTTCAGGATTTTCTTATACCAGCGATGTTTCTTTAGACGCATCTGAGAGGAGAAGTGTTCAGCACAGTAGGGTGCACACTCGATCCAAAGCACCCACTGCACATGCCCCATGCTGCCCTCATACCCACAGCACCCACCTGCCCATTCCCCACACTACCTTCACAGCCAGGGCACCCACCTGCACATACCCCACGTTGCCCTCACTGTTGCCCAAGCCACCCAGAATAATTGGGTAGTGGGGGTCAAAGTTCATTACAAATTCACAGGGGACGTTTTCGATCTCAATTCGTACATACATCCCAGGTCGAAAACCTTCATACTGAACTCTAGTTTCATCATCTTGATCTTCAAATTCTGCTTGGTTAAGCTACATATGAGAGGAGGGAAAAGAACAATAAAACCCCATCATGCTGTTATCTTTTATCAATCTAAGATTAAAATAAACAATAATTAACTTATTAAAGGAACCACGGATAGAATTCTGTAGGTTTTATCCTTATTAACAACAGTGGTAGCTGGTCGTGGTGACACATGCCTATAATTCTAGCACCTGGGAGGCTGAAGCAGGAAAATCATTACTTCAAGCCCAGCCTCGGCTACAAAGTAAGTTTAAGGCCAGCCTGAACTGCACAGTGAAACTCTATCTCAAAAAGAGAAAAACAACAACAACAACAACAAAACAAACACACAAACAAACAAACAATGGGTAACCACATCTGTGGTTCTTAGGAAAGTCCCTGCTGTGTTCTCACTTGCTCAGGACACAACAAGGTCTGATGGCACACCTTTCCTCATTACAATTTCCTATCTTCCCTACTCCACAGCAACCCTCTCCAGTGACTTCAGGTGTCACCCTCCTTCACTGGCTTCACATATCTTCATGTCTACCCAAAGCCTCCTGTGTTCACTGGGGGGCTTTGAGGAGGCCACTGGATCATGGGGGTGGGATACTCAGCAGTGGGTGAGTCCACTGATGAGCCTCCAGCTAAATGTGGTATTGGGAGGTAACACCCAGTGGAGGACATGAGGCACTGGGGGTGTGGCCTGGAAGGGTCTATCTCCTCCCTCCTCCCTTGATCTTGCTCTGAATTTTAACTGCCCTGCAATGAACTCTTTTCTCCTCTGGCATGACATTATGCCTTGGAATCAGCCGATTATCAACTGAAACCACTACAACCTGTGAGTCAAATGAAACTTTTCTTCCTTAAGAGTTGGGGGTGTCTGGTATTGTGTCCTAGCAACGAGGAAGTGACTCACTCTCACATGCCACATGCAGTCCATGAGGATATCCTACTGATCCACCTTTCTAACACAAGGGGCACCAGACCTGGATCTTTCGCCTTTGTCTGTGCCATCTTAACCTGAGTCCCTGCCAGGCAATCCTCTCCTCAGGGAGGGCACTAGTGTCTCTCCTTTGCTGTAACCCATGAGAGCCCCATTTCACCCAGAAGGAAAAATTCAAAGTCCTTTAGGATGGCCTACAAGATTCCACGTGACTGATAACAACACAGACTTCAGGACTAGGTTTATATTTCTTAGTCACTTCTGTTAAGGTCAACCGAGACTGGGAACGCTAAGTTATGACTCACTAGAAGACGAAGGCCTAGGCTGAACCCAGTCTGAACTACATTCCACCAATCACACATCCTCATTTGCAGCCATCACCTGTGCACACCTGTCTCCTCCAGAGTGGGGCCACCTCCTTGGACAGCCGGCTCAACCTCAGGGAGGAGCCACTCTACCCCTTCCCTGAATCTCTGTAGAAACTTTCTGAACTCTGACTGAGGTGAGTTCAGGAATCTTGCCCTGGAGGGCTTAGTTGTCCACAAGTCACATGGGCCACAAATTCTCTAACTGCTCAAATCAGGGGCAAGGATCAAAATGTGAGCACAGGCTGCGTGAGGCCCTCAGAAATCCCTTCTGCTTCCTCAGCACTGCAGGTCTAGCACTGCGGGCTCTGGTGCTGCTCTTTGAGTTTCTGACTGAGACTATGAACAACCATGCCTATGTGCACCTTGACAGAACCACATGAAAGGCAGAGAGCAGGCTGGGGTGGGAGGAGGCACACAGGAGTTCTCTCACCTGCGCTTGTTTCTGCATTTCTCCCTTAAGGTCATCAAAATAAGTGCTTTCTCCTTCATCATACTCTGCATCAAACAGCTCCTTCAATTTTCTCTTCTTCTCCAAATGCTTTTTCTTGGCGTCCTCTTCTGTGCTGGGGTCAGTTTCTTCCTTGACTTCTCCCTCTACATCTTCAGTCTTAAATTTCCAAAAGGAAAAATATATTAAATGTTCATTAAACATAAAAGTAGATAAACCTCTTTTTGAACTACAGAAAGCTTCATTATGATCATCATGAATAAAAGAAAACAAAACGCAGCCTTTGGCTCTAAGACACTGTGCCCTGCTGCAGGAGTCAGCACTGCAACTATCACTGGCCCCTCACAGGCTTGGATGCCACCCCAGGCAAGTGACAGAAATGTGCCCAACCCAGATGCTCCCAGAAATGCCCCAAGGACAGTGCAAGGAGAAAAGGAAACTGGTTTTTTAAATGACACTTGAATTTAAGTGGGGAATGAAGGCCAGAGGAACAATGGAGAGGAAGAGCTGAGCTCCACGAATAAAAAACTGTTAGGAATCTGGTAAACAACCATGGCAAGAAGGGGCTGGTGGTGTCATGTAAAAGACTGAGAATGAGTCAACGGATGACTTATACCTGTCCCGCAACTCACACTTCTAGGAAGGACTCTATCTATGGGTCTGCAAGTTACCCAGGCAGCCATCAGAATTGTTTCTTACCAGGAGTGACCTTGGTGCAAGGGGATGCAGCTGTGACAGACTCATACCTGAGCATCGGGGTCTGGCTTTCCCTTGTGCACATCCCCTGTTTCTAGGTCTTCAAAGTCACCGTAGAGCTCATCTGGAAAAGAACACCCCCAGGGCCACTAGTGAGTGGGGCCTGCACACAACAGCACAGAACCCTGTGCCCGCCATACCCCAAGCTCAATCTACTGGTTTCCCATTGTCATTATTCCAATATCTGTCTGGCAATGGAAATGGACCCAATCCACATTTCCTTACTCATCTGATATCTCACTTAGCTGTGGGCTGTCCTTCTAGCACAGGTGTGGACCCTGGAACAGACAACAGAAGTGGCAGGCACAACCCTCAGGGGAGGCCCCAACACCAACACCCGAAGAGTGAGCAGGAAAGCCCTAATGCAAGGAGTAACCACATAAAACTTGCTTGACACACCTAGGGAAAACCCTAGCGCATACAGAGAATGCAGATGAGAGCAAGGACAGCTCAACAGTGCTGACAGCACAGAAGAGTTCACTAATTCACTTGTTTGTCCATGCCTGGAGCACTGGCTCAGCTACAAGTCCTGTCTTAAAAGCTCCTTTGGGAGGGCAACATTTAGAAAGGTATTAAAACATTTTCACACAAGAGCCAAGAAAAATAAAGTAACACATGGAAAGTTCCTATCTGTAATAAAAGCAAAAAAGGGGAAAAAACACGCATTTATAAACTTAACAAAACCTGTGTTGGAACTTTATTTTAAAAACAGGCTGTAATATGTCACCACAGGACAAAAGTGTAACCCCATCAGCCACATCCCAGCCACCCCAAAACCACTACCAAATACTTCTAGTCTACTCCTCTTATGGTTGCAAGCTCCAGAAGTAATGCAGGAGATAAGAGACAATCAAAGAACTCTGGGAGGTAGGGAGAAAAGGACAGGCTGATGAGTGACCCCAGGACTCGGCGGATGACCTGGTGGTCTCAGTGTTTCCCCACCCTCACCCAGGCAGAAGGAGGCCAGGCAGGATCTTAACCAAAACAAAATCTTGCTGGCAACACTAGGGACACTGTACAGCACAAGGCTGAGGGTCAGGGCCCACTACCAAAAGGGCCTGAGCAGACCTCCTTTCCTCCACCAAGACACCCAGGGGCTGAGGTTACTGGCAAAGGAGAATCCACCAGGCCCAAGCCTCCCCTCCCTCACTTAAAAGCAATCCACCAACTGGCAAAGTCAACAAGGACATGCCCTAACACAGCAAACAGCCTGCAGCCTACATTATAAGACATCTGTTCCCCCAGGGACACCAGCAGTACCACAAAGGTTCTGAAATCAAATTATCACACAAACTATACAAAGTACTAAGACCTGTGTGCTACACCTAGACACGATGATACCTGTGAACAGTGAAAGAAAAAAAAAAAAAAAATCACACAAGAACCAGTCTCCTCTCACAACAGCCAAAAGGTACAGAAGACAACAGAGGTATTTCATACTCATGTATAAACTTAACATATCTTAAATATAAATTTGAAAAGATGACTGAAGACACCACACCAACTCTGAAATGTCAAATGCGGAAACTACTGACTCATATCGTAAAATGCTTCAATGACCAACCACAAATCTTATGGCAACAAATAAAAAATTGAAAACCTCAGCAAAGAAACTGAATCAAATGAAAATGAAAGAACTTAAGTCTACAATAACAAATTTAAAACCACTAGATGGGTTGGTTCATTAAGGAAGGTAGAGCAGACAAAGGAGGGAACTGGAGGCCTGATCAGCAGAATTGAGCATCTAGACAACCGAGACAACAGCCTGGAAACTATGGGCCCGGGGGAAGTGAACCAGTATGTTTACACCACCAGAGTGCCACCAAGAGAACAAGGCTCAAGAGCAGGCAAAGAAGAACCGATGCTTCCCAAATCCGAGGAGAAACTTTCAGACTCAAGCCAACAAAGCTTCAAAATGAACCCAAGAAATACATGTTGGTTAAACTTGTGAAAACTAAACAGAGAAATACCTGCAGGGACACCCAAGTCAGGGAACAGCACCTTCCCCGCTGAAGCCAGGAGGCCAGAGGGTGTGGCACAAGTATTTTAAGGACTACAGGAAAAGTGAGGAGATATTGGGTTCCAGTCAGTGAAGCCAATCTCAACAAATTTAAAGGAACTGAAATCGTAAGAGTTTGTATGTACTCTGAGACTATCACATAATCAATCTAGAAATTCACAGTAGAAAGCCAATAGGAAAATAATCAAGGTAGAAATTCATAATAGCCAACAGGAAAATCTCTAAACAACATACTGTTAACATTCACAGGCCAAAGAGAAGTCTCAACGGAAACATAAAAATGTACAGAATGGAATAAAAATGAAAAGCCATGAAAATTCGTGAGGTACAACTAAGTGGCACCAAGAGGGACATTTACAGCACTAACCACTTTACCAAATGTAAGGTTTAGTACATGTGAATGGTCTCAAACCAATAATAGGTGAAAACTGAAAAAGAATAAAATAAATCTAAACTTAGCAGAACAGAAGTCAACAAAATTAAAAATGGGAAAACAGAAAAATCAACAAATAATTAGTTATTTTAAAAAATCTCACTGACAAAAATTTTAAAAAATGAGAATGAAACTGGATTGTCAAAAAGGATCCTGCAGCCATTAGAAGAGTGGTAAGCATACATTATCCATGTAGCATTATTCCTCCACAAACAAGAAAGAAACCCTGCCATTTTCAGGCAAGTACATGGATCACCACACCAAGCGAAATAATCTAGACACATAAAAACAAGTCTGCATGTTCTCTCCTACATATGGAAACTAAAAAAAAGACCTGAAAGTAGAAGAGGACTGGATGCATGTGATCAATGCATGACATGCATGTATGGAAAAATCACAGTGAATTACACTAATCTGTGCAATTGGCAGTGTGCTAATAATCAGAATTTAAAAAACAAAATTTTAGAAAACAAAAAACAAAAAACAAACAAGTAAACACTGTACTGTGAACATCATCCTCAGAGTACTCAGGCAGGTCTGAAAAGGTCCTTGATAGAATCTCACCTCACCACCAGGCTATGAAACTCCTTGAAAATCATAAGCTTCCAAAATTTAGTCAAAATGAAACTAATAACCTCAGTCATCCTCTAACCATCAAAGAAATATAACTGGAAGCTTTTACACAAATAATCTCTAGGCCCAGTTTTACTGAAGAATTATACCAAATATTTAAAGCATTCACCCATCAAATTCTTCTAAAAAAACAGAAAAAACATTTTCCAACTCAGTGTATGACACTAATTTTTATCATCAAAGCAGATGAAGACAGTACTAAAAACAACAAAAGCAAAATTACAGACCAATGGCTGTCATAAACTTGGGTGCAAAATCCTCAATAAAATACTACCCAGTAGAATCCAACAACACTTAAAAAGATGTATATACCATGATCAAGTGGGATTTAATCCAGATGTACAAAGTTGGTTCACTCAAAAAAATTAACACAATCCACAACAGCAAAGAGTAAGGAACACAATCTTCATGATCATATCAGTGGGTCCTGCATGGCATCAGACAAAATTCAACACCATTCGTGACTTAAAAAAACAATCCTCAGTACTCAAGAAACAAAAGGAAAGAGCACACAAACAATGTGTACAAAAATAACCAAACCAACACCAGACTTTCCAGGAAAAAGATTGGGAGAAAGGCAAGGTGTTCTTTCTCAGCCTCTTATTCAACACAAAGCTGACATCCTAGCCACGCGAATGAGGAAAAAATAAAAAATACAAGGTAAATGGCTGGAAAAGGAAGAAACAACACAGTTCCTATTTGCAGATTACACAACTGTCCATGCAGAAAATCCCAAGCAATCTACCAAAAACAAAATACAAACGTCCCAGAACTAATAAGTGAGCAAAAGATACCCACAGACATTTTACATCTGTATACATCTGCAAAGCACTCCAGGTAATCAACAGCAAAAACCACCAACCCAGTGAGAAAAAGTCAAAGACATCCAGACATTGTACAAGATGGCAAATAAGCAGACTAAAAAATGCTAACTATACTACTACACAATTGTGCTACACAATAAAAGGCATCAGGGAAATATAAAATAAGAACACCATTAAGTATCATTAGATGTGTGTAACGACAGCTGGAAATAAAGTGAGAGCACCATGTGCTGGTGAGGATGCAGAGACATGGAGCCATTCATGCACTGCTGTGGAAATACAAATTGGCCCCACCACTCTAGCAGTTTCCTATAAGACTAAATATGCAATCACCAGATCACCCAGCAACTGCAGTCATGGGCATGCATCCCAGAGGGTAGGAAACCTGTATCCCAGTGTGCACAGAAGGGACTGGGGATATGGTTGAGCGGTATAGCACTGGCCACACAAGTGCAAAGCCTGGGTTCTCCCTACCCAGCACTGGCTGTATGAAAATGTTATGTTCACAGAAGCTCAGGTCTGACCAACTGCAACAGTCTGGATCACTTCTCAGGATGAGGGGCTAAACACACTGGGATGTGCTTTCCACAAGACACCACTCAGCAATAAAGAGGGTTAAGCTATAGTGACAGGTGATGACCTGCATATGTCCAGGGAACTGACTAGTGAAAAACTACAGATCCTAGAGGTTATAGACCCTAGAGGTTCCTGACCATATAACTGCATTTTTCTAACATCCTAAGACATGGAACAGACCGGGCTTCCTACAGGGTAGGAAATGGAGATAGAAGGACAGCAGGGAGGGGAGTGGGTTCCTGAGAGAACAGGACAAGAAAAGAAGTCCTGCTGCAGTAGCGTGCTCTGTGCAGTGTGTACACACATAGACCTACACACATGATGAAGGCAAGCACCACTACATACCCCTACACATGTGATGAGGGCACACACCACACACTTCTACACACGTGACAAAACACACACCACACAGTCCTCTGCACACATGAAGGCAGCTCTACATGACTATCAAAACTGATTAAGCTGAACACTGTACTACCTCAATTTTTAAAAGGCAGGCTCTAACAGAAACAACATAAAATTTTTTCTAATCCTACAACTAAGGAATATAAGTAAAAGTCAGACTTCATTAATTTTCTAGTCATGAAGAAAACAGCAGGACTGAAAATAAATCTGAGAAATAATTTGCAAATCTAACTTAAGACCAAACTTGGAAAGGATAAAGTGTATATAACAGATAAAAATTTTTTGTTCTGTAACAATTCCAAATTCCAGTGAAACTTCACTATTTACTGAAAAAAGTGTTGATTCCTGAAAATATGAAAATATAAACAACCACCACCAAAAACACTCAACCAGTGATCATGGAAAAACTGAAATTGACAAACAGAATTACACCAAGGATATCATCTTGAGACACACATGTGCACATCTGCTAGGAATGCTTAACCTGAATCTAACCAAATCTTTACTCCTAACACACAGCTCATAAGACTGGGAGAAATGGAAGAGATCTCATTAATGCTGTAAGGAACATGTCCCATGACAATGGACCAGGTAATTTTCGCAAGTCACTGTTTCTATTCAAGCGAGTAGCCGGGTGTGGTGATGCATGCCCATAATCCCAGCACTCAGGAGGCTGAGGCAGGAGGATTGTTGAGAGTTCGAGACCAGCCTGGGCTACAAAGTGAGCTCAAGGCTAGCCTGAACTACACAGCAAGACTGTCTCAAAAAGACAAAAAAAAAGGTGATTGGTGAGATGGAGTATTGCTCTAGATCTGCTACCAAACTTTTGCAAACAGCCAAGGAGTAAATATTTTAGGCTTTCTATATAGCCCCTGTTGCAACCACTCAACTCTGCTAACAAACTCATGTGACTGTTCCAGTAACACTTTACATTGAAAACTGAAATTTCAATTCCATATAGTATCCATATCATAAAATATATTGGGGGGATTTTAGTCCTTTAGTCCTTTAAAACAGTGTAAAATCCATTCTCAATCTGTGTTCTGTGGAAGCAGGGGCGGCAGGAGATGGGGGGTGGGTTCCACAGCCATGGCCTCCGGCCTGCAGTGGGAGGCGGCAGCAGGGAGGACGGGTTCCTCCCAAACACACTGCATCTGTTCCCTACACGAAATGCAGGTTTAAGCACTGTCTTTTAGGGCCAGAGCAGTCTTTAGTAATATAGTCCGTAATAATACAGAAGGAATCTCCATGGGAAGAGTAAGGAAAAGAAATCTCTCCACAGAAAGATTTTAGACCTAATTATATAATCTTTTACGCATTTATTATCACACTAAACAAAACTTTAAATTAAATGACAAAAAATAAGTATTTGGAATAAATCAATGATAAATGTCCTTTAGAGAAGCTCAAGCTTATATATCAATAAAAAAATATAAATAGCAGAAAAATGGGCAAAGGATACAAGCAATTCACAAAAAGTGTTGCAGCCAAAATGATTTAAATGAATATTCTTACTTATGAGTGGTCAAAGAAATGTTTGAAAATAGGAGAAACCAATTTTAGTCTCTCAAACTGGCAAAAAAAATTATAGATAGCACTCAATATTAAATGAAAGTCCAATATTGCTTAAAATCTTAAACAATAGTACTGTGACTTGACTTACAGTGAGGTATTTAAATCATAACAAATCATTTTGAAAAAATTTAATGAGAAAATGTATTATTAAGTATGATAACACACAATTTTGATGATTAAGAAGAACTAACTCTAAGGTTAACAGAGGTTTTTTTAATGGATCAAAGAACTCTAGTATGAGACGCACTTTTTATTCTAAATTTTTTTACAGTGCACACTACCTTTAACCTCAAAAGAAAAATATAAACATTATTTGAGTAATTTTTCACACAAAAGACACCTACTTTTTCTTAAATGATCAAATTTATAGCAATTTTCTCACTTTTCTTTAAGGTTCACATCTATTCAACAGGCTAACAGAGGGAAGAAAGCAGACACCAGGGCACTACCCACAACTGCCAGAGCACACCATCCGTCCTAACCTGCAGTTAAGACACAGAGGAGCACAGGCAGCCTTACCGTCTTCTGCTAAGATCTTGGCTGCATCCTTGTCTTCTTCCCATTTCCCCGTCACAAAGCAGTCTCGGATACTGCTCATAACCTGACACAGAAAAGCAGCACTCAGTGACATCCTCTAGTCATGCCACAGGGCGCTGCTACTGAGGCGTGGTAGCAGGCAGCCACTGGCCTATAAGTGCTTCCCAAGGCACTTCCAGGCATAGTCTTGTGTCAAGGGGGCCTGCCACTATGACCAGAGAGACAAAACACAAAGGTCACAACATTAAGCAGTATGTAAGGAAAGTACCCTTAGGCCACTAACCTCATAAGTAAACAATATTCACTAATTTTCAGGTATTAATGTTTCTGAGGCAATGTGACAGGACATTTTACCAAGTTAGTTTATTTGTTAATCTAAACCTACCACTTCTGCTTGAAAATTTAATTCCTATAGAATGGGAGAATATACTTGCAAATCAAGTATCTGGTAAGGAACTTGTATCCAGAATACATATGCAACTTTTCATCTAATTTTAAAAATATGCAAACAATATGAATAGATATTTCTTCCAAGTATTTACAGAGATGGTCAGAAAGCACATGACATGATGCTGGAATCATTACCTACCAGGGAAATGCAAATAAACATCACAATGAGGTATCATTTCCCATCTTCTAGGACAGCTATCATCAAAAAACAGGTAACAAATGTTGGTGAGGATATGGACAAAATGAAACCCAAACACTGCTGGCAGGAATTTAAAATGGCACAGCTGCTTGTAAAAGAGGAGTCACGTGAGGGAAAAAGTATTTCCCACAATCATACTAACAGTACTATGTGTAGTGGTGTTCTGACACTGTTTTATGTGTAATATGGGGTAGACCAAATAAGGGATTACATGATTTTCTAATTTCATCTCCAGACTGAACCAGGGGAAATTTTCCATTAGAAAAATGGATACAGAGATAAGATGCAGTCCTGAATATGAACTGAAAACATCTGTATAAATCCCTCACCCGCTGACCACTGAGGAGGACTAGAAACAATGACCAGCTCATAGCAGTAGGCACACTCATGCCTGACTGTGAGTGCCATCTTCTGCTAAAGGAAACTGACACTTCAGAGGGAGGCCAGAAATGTGGCTCAGCAGTGAGTCAGGTAGCATGCACGCGGTCCTGCGCTTCACTTCCAATACATTTTTTTAAATTCAGGCTTTTATTCTGCTTATATGGAAGTAGGTAACCCAACCAAGTGAGGGTAAATTTTTCTTTATAGAAGTACTCTAGAAAAACAAGTGAGTCACCCTTCTACAGCCTTAAGAAATCTGGGGCCCTGGACATCAAGCATCATGAGTGCTGACATGAGGGGAGATAGTGAAGACGCCACTGGCCTCCTACTGAAAAACCACCGGCACCTAGGAAGCACAGCTGCCCACAGATCAAACTGAACTTTACCCTACGCAACCTCTGCATGCTTTGCCTACAACCATTGGGCTATTTAAATCAATCTTACATTAATCAAGATTAAATAAAACATTTAGTTCTTCAATCCTAACAGCCCACTGACCTAAGTGCTCAACCCACAAGCAGCCCCTGGACAGTTGTGGGATGCACTCCCCTCGCCACATGGCTGAGCTGAGCTGAGCTGAAGGGAACCCAGAGGGGAGGGCTGGGCACACTGCACATGGGCATGCGGTGCATCCATGAGGTCCGAAAAGAAGAAGTGCTACCCAGGAAATACCAAATTTCTTCAATAAATGAAGTATACAGGAACAACAGGGATGGGAGGAAGGGAGGAATGCAGATTAAGAGATTTGTAAGGCAAAGAAAAATAATAAAAGCCATATGAAACTAAACTACAGAGTTTAGTGATACAAACTCTGAGGGTGAAATTGTAGAGAAGAGAAACAGGCAGTCTAGATGTGCTCCTTGACTGGGATCAGCTTCTGGCAGCTGAGTCAAATGATTATTTTTATGTGGTTTTCTTCATCCATATTAAATTTTATCATTAACAACTGTTAGATAAAATTTGTAACACCTACATAGTGAACTGTACTAGGCAATATGAGAGTAACGGCTTCTCTGAGGAGTGATAAATATTTAAGCTAAACTGAATGACAAAAAGCAGTCAGGCTTGGGAAGATAAGAACATTCCAGAAGAGAAAACGGAGTGGGAAGGTCTAACATGGGATTAAGCTTTGGCAAATTTGAGAAGTGAGTGAATTCCCGTTTGACTAGGGAGTGGCACATGGGAGAATACTCCCACAGTCATGGATTCGTTTACTTACAAAGAATAGTAATTGTAAATTTTAACTCAGGACAGCAGACATATCCCAGTAATAAGACACGTTTCAAATGTACAAAAACTCTTATGTGCAGTGCTTGAAATCAAGGTAACTATTACTCATACTAAAAGGTGAACACTTTCCTTTTCCATGATACACGTACAGGTTACTGCTCAGGACGTATGAAATATCTACTCCACTACCTGAGAAAATCACCTGCTGTGAAAATAAGAGGCCAACGGTGGGGAAGTAACACTACTCAGAAGAGATTCTGTTGGCACACGAGTCAAGCATATGATTTTTTTTTTTTCTAAACTAAAACTTCAGTATTCAGGCTTAGTTGCAAGGTTGGCACTTTGTGATAAGTAGGTTTTGGGCTGCAGTTTGAGGGCTTGGTCTCTAAAAGGTTCACAGTATTCTAGGACAATCCTCTCATTCCTTCCAGGGGTGAACATGTGATTCTGCCTCACCTCCTCCAAGTCCCAATCATGGGGCGCTTCCACAGGAAACCTGGAGCAGTCCAATGCATCAGCCTTGTGCTTGCATCCTCCGTCAGGTTGCCTAATGTGGAACAGCCCTCCCAGCTCTTCTTGGGCATCTCCATCATCATCTTCATCATCTTCTGTCACTAAAGGGAACACCGTGAAGGCAAAGTGAGATCAAAATCTTCAGCCCTCTAGGATTCACTACCAACCAGTTAACGCTCTTGTCCTGTAACCCCGGAGATTGCAGGTTCTTATGTGTGGTGTGCACAGTGGCAGCCCTGAGCCAGTCAGCCACACAGAACACCTCAGCCACAGAAGAGATGCCAGCCGGAACTGATCAAGAATAGGGGCAGGGTGTGACCCTTAAATGCAGAGCTTTAAATTACTACAGTGTTTTTGTATACAGGGTTGAGTCCTTAATGACTAAACTTTTTTGGCAAATCCTACGTGAAAATAGGCACATATCAAGCCTCCAATTTGATGCTCCTAGCCCAAAGTGTCTAGTCTCATGGTCACTGAAGAGCACAGTTTAAAGCTCACCACTTTATACCCATTTTTCCAAAAGATACATAAGGTAAGCCTAATAAGCTATAAAATCAGAGAACCAGCACGAAGGAGGAAAGAGGCGTACTACACAGGGTTCTCATTCTCAGAAAAGAAAAACAAAGGTTTTTATAGGCAGAAATATTTTCCTGGCATTAAATATTACAAAAATTTTTCATGTAAGACTTTTAAATAGAATATGAAATGACATAATGCACAGTATTCTCATCAAAAATTTTATGGCAAACCCACAAATCTATTTCGTATGACCAATCTATGGCCCTCATGAGCTGATTAAAAACATCTGCCAAATGTAAAATGTGACAGCCAGGAATTACAGATGTCAAAAGCACTGCCCCGATCTCTCCACCAACTCCCTCATCTCTTTTATAGAAAATAGTCTAAAAACCCTGAACATTTCTAGCTCTAAGCCAGAGCTCTTTACCTGTCCCATAAATAAGCTTTCGGAGGTTTGGTGCTGCTTGCTGCTGCCGCAGAAAGGCCTCTGCCGCCTTCCTGGAGAGGTCTTCCTTCCACTTGAGAGCCCCTGGAACACAACACCAGAGCCGGTTACACCTGCTTACTGTCTTCTCTGCTTCAAGCTCACAGTGCAGCATCTGAACAGTTAACAAAGTATCCCAACAGCAGACCCCAACCACGGGCACTGCACTGACAGCAACACTTCAAGTGCCAAGTTTCTAGATGCAGCCAATTAACCTTAAGTTACTTACCTGATGTTTCTGTGGAATAATTATTTTCTTCCTCGTAATCTTCTTCCTCCTTGAGTAAATCTTCAATATCACTGGTCTCCTCCATCAATTTCTTCGACCCTGGTTTCTGACCACCATTATGCCCTCTAGGAGGGCATACATGCTTCTCCCCAGCAGCCTCTCCATCTCCTGCATCCTCCTCCTCTGAGCTAGGTGAGGAGCTTTCTCCAGAGACAAAGGCCTCCTCTGCTGTGCAGTGGCCAGAGTCAGAAGTGGCAAGGGCTGTTTTACTCATCGACAAAGACTTCTCCAGGTTCTGGTGGCCACTCCAAAGGCCAGCTGGTGACAGTCTTGCTTTGCCACCTTCTCCAGCAGCTTTCAATTCTACAATGTCCTCCTCTCCACCAAAGTCATCATCTTCACTGCTTTCATCGGCTTCCTCCTCTTCCCCTCCCTCCTCTGAGCTCCTCTCAAGGTCATCATCACTGTCAGCAAATGCCGGCAAATCCACCTCACTGTCCTCCTCCATCTCCAGTTTCTGCCGCTTGACACCCCTGACAGCCACGTACTCATGCTCAGTGCCTTCAGGACCTTGTTCCTCCTCTGTCTCATCACCACTGGAGCCACCTTCCAGTCTGTCACTGTCAGACCCTTCATCGTCTTCCCCATCACTACTTCCAGATTCACCTTCTTCATCTCCAAACACAGCTCTGCGACGCACTCGACCAGTGCTCACATCCACCTGCTTTTCCTCTTTTGGCATACACAGCCTGCATTACCACATAAATGCAAAATAATTAGGATGTACAGCAGCTGGCTAATCTAGAAATGGTGATAGTTGATAAAAATACAAAGAAACAGAAATGTTAAGGAATGATTTAAGATGACATCACACAGGAAAATGATTTGATAAACATTAGCATGGTTAATAGGCAAACTTATGCCCGTTCCCCAGCAAGACACTTGTAAAGAATCGACAGGAAGAATAAAGAGATACATTCTTTAAAAACAAAATGAAACAAAAACCTCTAATTTCAGGAAAACCGTTCAGAAGAGAGGTTAGTGTACAGTAGGTCTTCTGGAAAACAGATTTCCAAGCTAGAAATGCTGGCTCTGGGCTTGCAGCAGGGACAGCACAGAGTAACTGGACCACTTGGTGGTGTAGAACCCAAGTACTCAGCGACCAATGGAGCTACACCACAAGAACACAGGAAGCAGACTGAGCTCTCCTGCGGTCAAATTGGGGACAACGCAGGCATGAGTATTGGCAGCAATGAAGCAGTAACACATGAAATAATACAAAAGTTCATTAGTTAACTGAGTCTGGAATAAAGAGGAAGTGATAACTCTTTGCTAAAGAAAGTCAGCTAAAGACATCAAAGATGTGGTTTGGATCTAGGTGTCTCCTAAGACCCCCTGGGGACTCACAGCTGATCTGCTGTTAGGTGGGGCCCAGTCACTGGGAAATGACCTGGAAGGATCTATCACCCTCTGAGCTCCCTTCTCTCTGCTTCCTGGTGACCATAACATGGCCAGCTTTTCCCCACCCAGGGCCTTCCGCTGTGCCATTTTTTAAGCCTGCCAAACATGGGCGGAAACTCCAAACTGTAACCCACAATACACCTCTCCCCTTCCAGTTGGAAATGTCAGGTATTCTGTCCCATCGGTGCAGAAAGTGACTAACATAACTGCTATTTTGAGTCACCATGCCATAACTGCAGAATCATTAAGGTTCTAAAGCTACAGGATGAAATAAAAACTATATGAAACTACTTAACCACACTACTTATGTGTAGTGCTACACATAAAATTTAGGAAGACATCAATTTTAAAAAAACTAAAACGGCACCATAATAGAATAAGTCAGAGTATACCAATGATAACAAAATAATGATGCTATGAAGACAGCACCAAAAGGAAATGCTGACAGCTATGGCTGCACAGGTCTGTAATCCTAGTACTTAGGGAGGCTGAGGCAGGAAGATCACAAGTTTGAACCCAGCCTGGATAACTTGGCAAGACTGTCTCAGAAGAAATTAAGATTAAAAAAAAAAAAAACCAACCCAGGGATGTAGCTCAATGCAGAGGTTCTAGGGTTCAATCCCCAGTGCCACAAAACAAAAAGAAATGCTCAGGATACCAAAATTAAAAAAAAAATTTTAAATGCACTGCATCAGTGTTAGAAAGGAGTATCTACACAGACAAATATGGAAGAATAACACAAAAATGAAAACAGCAAATTACAGCACAGATTAGAGTAACAATAACCCTCAGTGAATACTTCTTTATCTGTTAGGTACAATACTAAATATTTAGGCACATTAGAACAAATTGTATACTAGATAACCTCAAACATTTTCAGTTTGAGTAAGAAGCATAAATCAATACACCCCTTAGGTATGAAAGTACACAAATTCCCAACCCAGAGTGAAAAGCAATTCACATAAGCCATACATTAGTGGACACTACCCCAGAGACACAATACAATCCACACTTGATCTTAGCCAAAAGGCTGCGAAGCAATACACAAAACAATCCAACAAAACTTCCAGACAAAAGTGCACAGCTCTGGCCAGTACCGTACTCTGATCTAGGATGTAGGGCACAAAAAGAAAGCTAAGCAGCCTTTGTACTCCTAAGAAACTACAAGCTACCTACAAAAAGACATGATGCTATTTGAGGAATATACCTGGTGACAACGAATCCTAAAGGTTGGGAAATACTCCCATGTTATGTCACATAAATCAAAGAACCTTGAGAAACACATGCACATACAATGGAAAACAGCAACCTTGTGTGATGCAATGGCAGAACGATGGGTGACAGGATCCTGTGTAATGCGGTATTTACTAAAAACAGGGAAAAAGTACACTTACCCTTGGTTGTCTATATCCTCTGACCCCAATGGTTTGGAATCAGAAAACAGTGTCACTCTGCTTGAAGCCATCTTGGCATCAATAGTGGAGTGGGTAGCAATGAGACTCTGGACCAGCTCCTGGGTGGGCCCTGGTACCTCCTGTCAAACCAAAGAAGGCAAGTGAGGAAAGCAGAAGGATTCTGGAGACACTAATTTCAATCAGCATTGCAAAATTACTCTAAACACAGTTCCTGAAAACCTTCTTTACATCCTTAAAAAGAATCCTTACAACGAAGCTTGAAATTGATGCCCATCTTCTTTAACTCTTTCCCAATATCCATGGGGTATTTCATCAAATACTAGGAAAACCTCAGGACTCAATGCTTTCAAAAACATTATTTTAACCCAATAATAATCTCATTTCAAAAAAAAAAAATCTGGAGTCCATTTCAAAAAACAGGAACAAGACTATCCTGAATAAGAAAACAGCATGAGAAAAAGAAAAAGACCAGCAAAAGCTGAGAAATAGGCTGGTCTGTATGGAGAAGATAAGCCACACAGATGCCAGCCCCACCAGCGTGCCTGTGCTGGGACCCATGGGTCAGAGGTAGAGGACAGGAGGATAGGATATTTCGTTTCTGGTCAATACAATGAGATACTCAGATATTCTACCCCCTTAAAATACGTATTTGGGGGGGCTGGGGATTTAGCTCAGCGGCAAAGCGCCTGCCTGGCAAGCGCAAGGTCGTGAGTTCAGTTCCCGATACTGGAGAAAAACCAAAAAAATAAAATAAAATAAAATAAAATAAAATATGTATTTGGGCCTTAGCATGACGATGGATGAGGAGAAAAGTCTTCAGTAAATAAAAATGATGCATTACTATGGTGAAACATAGACTGGAAAGACAGAGGAGATCAGAGTAGCCTCCCCTCTTACCAATGCCTGAAAGCCATGGCTGCCACCAAGGTCGACATAGACAGCATCTTTGTCATACAGCACACCCCCAACTCCAGAGAGAGGTGCGTAAACCAGCTTTTCCTTCTCGTTCAAACAGCGCTTCTTTTGCTGTTCAGGAAGAGCGCATGGGTCTGGGAGGAAACTGACATCGCTCACGGCAAAATCTCCGACACCTGGAGAGGAGATTTTAGCTGACAGCAACCCAACAAGTACCTATAGCTGGAAAGTATCCCATATACCAAAGGCTGAAACTGCAGTGGGAAAAACAGTGTCATTCAACACTGGAAAAATACCGTGCCTCTATCGCCATGACACCAGCATCCACTAAGTACCTTTGCCGCATGACACATAAGTAGGGTTGTTGCTTTTGTTTGTTGCAGGGGAAGTACTAGGGATCAACATCTATAGGGATGTTCTATCACTGAACTACATCCCCAGCCCTTTTTAAATTTTGAGACAGGATCTTGGTAAGTTGCCCAGGCAGGAGCAGAACTTGCAATGCTCCTGCTTTTACAGGTGTGAGCCACCATGCCCAGCTTAATTTTTAAAATGACAAGTGAGCCAGGCATGATGGAGCCTAGTCTGTACAACTTAACAGCTTAGCAAGATTCTGTTCCAAAACAAAAAATAAAAAAGGGCAAGAGATGCAGCTCAGTGTGAAAGCCCTGGGCTCAGTTTCCAGTTCAAAAAACCCAAACAAGTGAACAAACAAAAACCCTCCAGCAAGGTATTTGGTCATTTTCCAGTTTTCTCCAAGAAATGAAGCCATTCCCAAAGTTCCATAAATACACTATTTTTACAAGGGGATACCTGGCATGTGAATTTGGCTTTTATTTTTCAAGTGTGCTCCTCGTAGATAACCATAAAGAGACACCTTTCGGTCACACTTAATGTTTGTCCGGATATCTTCAGGGTTTGTCAAATCTTCCATCCTAGAAAAATAAAACTCCATCAAATGGAAGAAACAAATTCCAACAGGCCTCTAATCTCCTTTCATGTATTAATGACCATCAACTTCTTGTTCATTAGGGACACTGTTTTGAAAAATAAGAAAATACAGGAAGTAAGTGCCATTCACCATCTACCAGAGAAGGAACAAATACACCGTGCATCCTCCAAGGAGGGAGAGCACATTTGCCTGGGGTCAGGGAAGAGCAGAGGGTTAACCTGGGACCTGGCATCCTACTTTTGCTGGACTCCAGCAGGAGGGAGGGATCCCAGAAAGTCAAAAGCAAGCACAGTGCAGATGCTCTGTGCAGCCAGAGCACCAGGACCTGAGAGTTGCATCTCGGGAAACCAAAGCTAAAAGATAGTAGGGTCCACACTTACAGTCCTCAGTGCTTCAAGATCCTCCAATTCTAAACATCTCATGTTTTGGTCACTCCCAAAAGCACAGCATCTTTCAATGATGGTCCAAAATGAGCTCTATCCTTCTTGTAACCTTTTCAGCTTTGAAACACAGCCAGGAAGGAATAGGTTATATTCATTTTTACCTGTCTGCCAGGATATAAGGGTGAGAAGTTTGCCATGTGAGAGGCCTGAACTTCATGACTGTGATAAAACGGCCCAGGTTGTGAATCTCCTGGTTCTGATATTCTCCATGTACCATTCCGGAGAGGTAGAAGAGCTTGGCACCCTGACATCAAATAAATAAATAAATAAATAAATAAAAATTAAATTTTAGTGACATTCCTATAAATACTACACCAAAATAAAAAGCAACTCTAAGAGGGGAAATCTCCACCAAAGCTCCAATCCTGGTGCCCCAGAGCTGGTGGCTTCTCCAGGACTTGTCCCATGAGGAGCCAACCGCTCTCCAGTCAAGGGTGTCTGTCCAGACTCAGCAAGGAGAGGGCAGTGAGGCTCCCGAGCAGGAAAGAATCCTGTGACCAATGGGGTCACAGTGGTGTGAAAAGGAGAGAAGAGAGGCACCTCCTGGTCCTTACCTTTCTTCATTCATGGCCCCTAAACACAGCCAGACACCAAGAGACCCAAAATAAAGACCCTGAGAGAAACAGTCCAGGAACCAGGAACAGATACATACAGGAGATGGGGGGTGAATCCCAGAGACACTCATTAGCCTCTCTTCATTCTAGTTTGAGAGGATTATCTTAGGATTTAGTAATGATTTCTCTTCCTACCGGGTAGACTTCCGTCCAGAACCTGTGTTTTAATCGTTTCTTTGTCTTCTTCAGTTGCTTATTATGCTTGAAGGAGTCCAAATGGGTGAGAATTCCCATAATTTTAGGAAAGCCATGTACTTGACAGATGTTTAAAAATTCAAATGTTTCCATTTCAAACCCAAAGCTGGCATCTATAAGCATCAGCACCTAAAAACAGAATACACAAGTTCTCAAGGTGACTACCAAAAGGGACCATCTAGACCAGGGATCAGCAAAGCAAGTCCAGGATAAATCCAGCCCACCCCTGTTTTTGCAACCAGTTTTATTGGAACATGGCCAAACTGATTTACTTACGTCTACACTACAACAGTAGGGCTGAACAGCAGCAACAGAAACTACAGGACACATGAAGCCCCAGACATTTATTCTCTGGCCCCTTTCAAGAAAGGAGTGCTACTCCCTGCTCTAGGCTCAACTCCATGAACACCATGGTGCACCTGGGTAGAGAAACCACTGCCCTATCACTAGCCCAAGATGACTGCCAGGACATCAACTTCCCTCTCAAGAATCTGTGTGTATAAGAACTCAGAAAAGGCTAGGCCGAATCTGGCCCCTGGATGAGAAACCGTAACTTCAATAAATAAAGTTTTTGGTAATGTATTTTCAAGTCGAGTAACAGGTTCCTAACAGGGAAACCAAGTAATTGTGGATATCCAAAAGATGGAAAAAAGTAATGATCAATAATAAAATATTAAAAGTATATAAAAAAGAAACCTTTAGCTTCAGTTTTACATATATATGTATGTATGTGTGTGTGTGT